CCCCAAAACCCCAAAACCCCAAAACCCCAAATCAATTAATTTATAATGCGAAAAGATGTTTTATTCCAAATAATTTATTTTAAAATTTAAATATCAGTCTTGGAAACCTAAAGTTTAAATACTTAAAAATGATATTTTTCACGGCAAGTTAATGACACCTTGGAATCCAGCATGATTTTCCAGTATTTTTCCAGGCTTATATGTCGTAAACCAATTTTCAAGATGCCCATTGAGCGATTGTTTCATCGCTTACTTATTGTGATTAAGATATTGTAAATAAATTTCTTAATTCTTCGTTTCTTCATCATATTAGAAAACATCAAAACTATTCTCATCATTCCCATCCATTTATGTGTAGCCAAAGAAATGATTAAACCAATGGAGTTCACTGGCTACCTAATTAATCATCTCTTGATTATATTTAGATCTATGCTTATTGATTCCTGTGTTTTGCACTTTGTAAATTGTTTTTCCTTTATTCATTGTATAAACTGCTTTTTCTATCAATTACTGAACTAAGGAACCTTCAATATTCTCACAACCCATCATAAATTTAAAGAGATCTTCAAGAGTCTCTTTTGGTTTGTATAGTAAATCTTCATATCTTATAAAATGGAGAGGAATGCCTTCAGCTTTGCACTCTTCTATTAGTTAAAGAGCGTGTTACTGCTAAGCAGCCATAGAAGATTAAACGAAAGCTTGGAATTGATCTCTATTCTATTCGTAATATTAGTCTGAGAGTTTATAAGATTGAAGATGGGTGCAAACTAATTCATATCTTGAGACCAATGTGTCAAGTGGATTTCTGATTGTGGCAACTATACGGTTTCCTTTACTTTATGCATAATAAAAAGATCAAAGTGGGTAATGTGACTTCTAAATCCAAACTCGATCATCAACATGTCCTTCACCTTTGAAGCCATTTAACCCTAATTCATAATTAACTGCAAAGTCCATATCTGTACCAGTCACTATATTTGTTATGTTTTCAAGATATTATCTCAAAAACGAATTTCCTGTTCTAGGAAAAGTCGCTAGTAATATTCTGTTATTTAATGGATGACCATCTAAAAACATAGGAGGAGTTTCAATCATCCATTAATCTTCATCTTGAAGTGATTCTTTAGGGCTCAATAATATTTTTTAGAGTTTTCCAAAATTGAGGCATCTTTATGAATCAGGAATAAGAATTTTCTATACTGAATAGATATAACCTGGAAAGCTTATTTAGGTACTTTCCTGAATTGTATGATACTTATCTGTTAGCCTCTAAGTAGCAAATTATGTATGACCTATTGATACCTGAATGAAATTTTGATCGTACATTAATTTATAAAGAGCGTTCCTTTGACGAGCAAATCGTGAGTGACAATAAATACTAGCCCAGGGTGAGGCAGTCTATCATGTAAAATATCTCTGATGTCAACATGGTGAGCCCCTCTTTTCTTAGTGTCAATAACCAAATTAACTGCATCTATAAACATCTAGTCAAATATATTAGGAGCAAAAATACTAGATACCTGATGATATGGAGAAAGATCGATGTTGTGCAGATCACAAAATCCAAGCTTAGATATATCTTAATTGACTTGGGTTTCCATTTTAATTTTATTAACTTGAAAGTAAAATGTAATCGTACTATCTTAGAATCTCTTTAAATTATTATTATTTTTTTAGAACCTTAATTCATCAATTTGAATCGATATTGAATAAAGGGGTTTTGGGGTTTTGGGGTTTTGGGG